GTTTTGTACAGAGACTATATTGATTTACTTTGTGTTTATGAACATCTGGAAGGAGATCCATAGCCTGAAACCAGCTCTTGGCTGAAAATCAAAATAAACAAATATATTGGCCTTGTGCATAATTTCAGTTAGCAAAGAAATGCGGCTGTGAAACCGGATGGATGCTCAGAGGTGCTTGATTTGGTTCTTAGCTGTGTCACAGTCTCACTGTGGGACGCTGGAGAACTTGAATTATCAGCCTACAATTCTGGTCCCTCTGTATGAAATGAAGAGCATCCAATCCCCTATGCACAGGGACATGCAGGATCCTAAGTCTTGGGGACTATGGTTTGAAAGCCATGGAAGTGAGTAAGAGTATCTCTGTGGGGCATAGAGCAATACAGAGGCCAATACTAGAGAGGCTTTAAAGGAACTAGCTCAGGTCCTAGAGAAGAGGACTTACAGCACTCAGCAGGGCAAGTCTAGGCTGTTTCTTGTCCCTCTGGGTTAGATGGGGTTTGCTATCTGGACTAGCTGAGCATGAGCTCAGGTACAGCTACCATAGCCTGAACTATTATTGCCCATTTATTGCCCATGAGGTTGATTCACCAAGCCTACAGCCATCCTCACATACAACCTCACAGGCCACAGGGAGCCATGGGCTTAGCTCCAATTTGGCTTTGGAATTCCAGGCACTCAGAAGGTTGCTTGAACTGGATCAAATTCTTTGGCAATTTCCCAAGGCATTTTCCTGGCTTTGTGAGTAGTTTTGCTGATCAGGATAATGACCAGAGTAAGACTTCAGTCTATCACATGGACAGCAAGTCCATCTCTTTTGGCTGATTGAAAATGTTCCACAACACCAAATACAGTGTCCCTCATCATTTCAGGGCCAAAAAACCATCCTGAGAATTTTCCTTACTTGGGTCCAAAACATGAGTGATTTTTGCTGAAGGAGCAGGGTTAGATAATAAAAGCTGATCAATTAACAGTATATCAGTTTAGGCAAGTGAATCCTGCATGTTCTCATCTTCCAAACATTTTGTTCAACATTAAGTAATGATGAAGAGATTTTCTGTAAGCAGCAGGACATTTCACATAGAAGCAACAGCATAAATATCACCATACACAATTCTTACCTGTGACTGCTAGAGAATCACATATTTTTAAATTATCAGCAAAGCCACGTACATGGGTTTGTACTGGGGCAGCTCCATCACCAACATCTGAATTGCAGGTTAACATTCATCCCAGTCAGCTGCAATACTCACAAGCAACAGAAGCACAAGGACAGAAGCCAGCATGGCTCTGCTTGACAGGATTTCAAAGCTACACTCTCACTTGAGCATCAGGAAGTTCTGCCCTATACCCTTCCTGGGCCCACAGCCTCTCGGGTGAAACAGCCCCACAAATCTGAGCCAGGTGCCATATTCTGTACAGAGGGTACATACGCATTCAGTCAGCCTGCAACGTGAGCATCTGAAATGAAGCGTTGGAGAGCCAAGGAATTGGCCTGTTTAGCACTAAGGTTGAATACTCCTGCTGCTTATGGCCAAGCTCCTGCTGCTGCACTTCAGAGCGTTTTGCTTTGTTACGGACCCCTGATTAACACTTTCTAAGCATTTCAGCCCACACTCCAGTCACTTTGCAGATAGCAATGAATGCAGATTTGAGTTTATGGGTTCATAAAAGTGTGAATTAGCACAACAATTTTCTCCCAGCCTATTTGCACAGCCCTTCCTTGAGTGACCTGTCTCTACAGACATCACAAATATTTCAACTCAAGCAAACTGCCCAGTGAGGCATTTTTAAGAGACTAGAATGAGATTGGTGGCCCCAGGAAGCAATGCCTGTGGGAGCACAAAGCAGGAGCATCACTGTGAAGACCAGCACTTGCATCTTCTGGCAGCACTATAAAGCACTGAAAAACAAATTCCTCTACCCCTGTAGGAACTGCAGTGATCCCAGCAGCCCTGGCCACTCACACTGGCTCTGAGCCTGGCATTGCTATTGCCACCCACCCTAAAGAGAGAGAGGTGAACAGACCTCCCTTGTTTGTGTTGCACTAGTGCAGTGTAGTCACACAGCCCTGCATCAATACATTGGATCAGACACAGAGACCCCAAAATAAGTACTTCACAATGACCCAGTGCTGCGTTTCTTCTCACAGCACATGTGCCTCAATCTCTTCCAGCCTCTATTCTGACATCCCATATCTTTGGGCTGTGGAAAACACTGTCACCCAGTAATCTGCCCCTTTTCCTGCTCCCTCTGTATCACTGGTGTGATCAGTCCTATCTCTGCATGGAGGAGGGGCTGGCTCACCAAATTTCTTTAATTAAAAGAAAAAGGATCAGGTTTATTTCAGATAAGCAGGCAGGATTAAAATAGACAGAAAGAATAGACAAGGGGCAGCTGTCAGCACTCCAGCTGATCCAGTGTGATTATTAATAATGATAAGCAGGAGAAGAGGGCTAATAAAAGGATAATGAAGTGGTCCTGAAAGTGACAGGAGATGGAGTGTGATAAGAGAGCCCATGGCATGGAGCTGTTGTGGCCCCAGTAAGGTCTGTGCAGAGCAGCCTTCTGGGGCAGATGCAAGTAACAGGGCACTAGGAGGAAATCTCCCCAGGGATCATGGCAGAGGGATTAGTGGGAACTCTGGCCATCCATGCCACACAGCATTCATGACTGAATCAATCAGGGTCCTTCCTAGGCTGCGACTTCCAGGAGTGCAGGTCCCCCCCCTGGATAAAGCACAGCCCAGAGAAGACTGGTCTCACCAGGGCACTCAGTTGTGGATCCCCTATGCTGCCCTGCCTTGGCCCTCACTCAGCACAGACCCCATCCCTGCACAGCCCAGGACTGGGGCACCACATTTTAAAAGGGAGCACAAGTGGGGAAACTGCAAGGAGCAGTTGCTGGAAGAGCATGTGGGCAGCATGGGCCATCTCTGCCCTGCCTGGGGATCACCCACCACTCCAGTTCCTCCTGGCTCTGTCAGCTCTCCAGGCCATGAAAGTGTCCCATATCTCAGGCAGCTGTCCAAAAAGGTGGAAGGATGTGGCTGCAGAAAGAGCAGCCTGGAGAGCTGGCTCTGGATGCCCTTTCCTGAGGGAAAGCTCATGGGCAGATCATGAAGCACAGGCAAAGATTACCACAGCACTCTGTACTAGTGGTTTGGGTTAGTCAAGAGGAAATAAGGTGTGAAAAGTTATTTCCCAGAAGCCATTAAACAGAGAATGAAATCCCATCTAACACCAAATATGTCTGCTCTCTCAAGGAGAGGATGAAATCATCTGTAAAGATATGGTGGAAAAGAAGGAAGAGGAAAACTCATGGCAAGACAGAACAAGTCATATGGCTGGAGAAGGGAGGTCTTGGTCAGGGAATGCTGTCAGAGGAATTTAGGCTGTTTCAGACAAACTGGATTAGCTTTCATTCAAACTGGTCTCTTTTATATCCAAACATCCCCTTCTCCCTCCCCAAGCCTAGAGCATCTCTCCTTCTCCAGAGGCAGAAATACTGTGGCCCGGGCTGTGACAGTCACAGGCCAGCCAGCAGGCTGGCAGCTGGGTGAGCTCCACTGGAGCAGCCACAGGCAGCAGCAGCAGCCCTGCACAAGGCCCAGCAGAGCAGCAGGGGATACAGGCCCTGGCTCGCACTGCCTGGCACTCGGCTCCCGCCACTCCGGGTCACCGCGGCAGATGCTGGGAGCATATGTCATGAATTAATTCCACTTTCCCTGAGATGCTTTGGAGAGAAGAACAGCAGTGCCTTTCCAGCTTATTAACATAGGAGCTCCCCCCCACCTCCACTCACTTCATCACACTTAATAAAACAGCCAGCCAGAGTCCCTCTAAGAGGTTCTTTAATGGAAAGTTGCTGGGTCTGGCATTTTTTCAGCTTTTATTTCCTCCATTTTTTCCAGTGTTTCCTAGGCTCTCAGCCCCAATATTCCCCCGTCAAACTGTGTTCTAGTAAGGCATCTCCACCAAGAAAGCCTATAAATATCATATGTATTATTACAAGCAAAACCGGAGATTTCTAAAACCAATAGAACCTAGATTTAATTTTTCATTTATGCACTTCTTTTACTTTATCTGTGATGAGCCTCACCATTTGCCCAGTATTGCTCTACTGAACTCTGAGTCTGCCAGAAGCTATCTGCAGGTAGATATTTACAGCCACCCAGAATCCCAGTGAGTCCCTGGGCAGACACCTCATGCCAGTTCACTGAGCCAAACATGCTGTTGACACACACACCTTGATGGGTTTGCAGCTCATCCTCAGCAATGTAAGTACACAGCAGAACCAAGACTAAGTAAAACTGCTCTACATTGAATTGTCATGTTTGAACTAAAGATGGAAAATGATTGCCAGGTATACGAAAGCTATGTTTGAATTCGGAACTTGAGGTTCTTAATTTCTAACCCTGATTCTGCCAAAGATTTGTTGTGTGGCCCTAAGCAGACCATTGTACCTTGCATTACCCCTCTGCAACACAAGGTCTGTGGAGACCAGCAAGGGAATACTACTCTATGCCTTGGCCAGGCACAGCCCAGAGGGCTGATCTGAGTTCCTAGGAACTGGGGACACTGTTTTGACAATGGCTCCCTCTTCTTACCTCACCTGAGGATCAACCAGAGCAACTGCTTTGCAGTCTACAAGGAGAAGTTACACCTGCCATTTCCTCTCCTGTATGCTCTTTCCACAGGACTTGTCAGAAATGTGGGTTCCTGAGGCAGTTTTGTCATAGCCAATACACACTGGTGCATGAAAGCCTGGACATGAAAGAGCAGCTCACTGCCCCTCTTCAGTAAGAACAGTAACGTGTGCGACAGCACCAGGACCTGAGAAAGAAGAAGCAACAGGTCTTACTCATCTTCCCATCTCTGCAACTAAAACACAACTGTGGAAGGAAGGTGGGTGGGAACAGCTTACTGGAGAAGGGCCAAGAGCCTGACACCCACCTCCCCTCGGCAGCTGTGCAAGGAATGGAAGAGACATGGAAACAAATCTCAGTCTATTAAGTTTATTTAAGAAAATTAAAGCGACAACTTGATCCCAGTGCACATAAATACTGAAGCAAGGAGAAAAGACCTGACAGCATGGCTGTGGAAAGGTGAAATCAAGCAGGCTCAAGAAACAAAAGATGAAACTCAAAAACTGAGTCTAGAAATAAAGCAGATTTTAAACCATAAGGGCAATCATCTATTAAAAAGTAACAAGGAAAGAGTTTGAAGTATGTTGTCTGCCTTTCTAAAAGACAGGCAAAGCTCAGCCCCCTCTCACAAGATTCTGCCATGGCCTATATTATAACAGGCCAGACCAAATAATCAAAGATAGCAAAGATACCAAAGATACCTCTTCCTGACATAAAACAGATGAGGCTGGCTTTTTTTTTCAAGCCCTTCTCTCCAGCTCTACTCAGGTGTTTTCTGGGTTACCAAGGTCCCAGACTGGGCACAAGCCTGGCCCACACACACCTGCTTCCCACTCCAGAGTATCCCTGCCCAGGGTCCCCAGCTGCCCAAAGCACCCGTTTTTTTTCCTCTGACTAGTTTGTTGTCTGATTTACTAACCTATTTTGGTTTCCTGATTTTTTTTTTTTTTCCTGGATGTACAAAGCATTCTAAATTCTCTTTGGCCAGGAATCATAAGTGTCACAGCAAAGTAGATGCTAGTGCAGCTGTGAAGTTTCTGCTCCTACCAAAACAGGTTTTTCTGCTCAGAGAAAGACTTTCAGATTATCTTCTGTACAATGACCTCCCAAGCTAATGCCTCACTTAGTTTTCTTAGTTACAGGAGAGATGTCTTGGTTGTAAAAAGCTTAGTTTCCTTAAGACAGATAAGCCTCCCATTATTTTTGGGGCCCCAGAGTGGGACCCAACTCCTTCTTTTTTGTTGGTAAAGTTGTTTGGCATGTCAGCTCTCACCTGAAATTCTGCAGAGTAGTGAATTCACAGAGAGCTATTTGATCTGTTCTGCTGTCACAAAAGTGGGAATGCAGTGCTCTGTTAGACCAACCAAACAAGCAAAGAAAAGCAGCACAGCAAGCTTCCTCCCAGCACCTGCACTCCCCAGAAGTTTATAGCAAGACTCTCCAACAGGGCAAGGCTTTGAAGGACTTTGGTTTAGAAGTAATGTCACTGTTTCCTGCAAATAATGACCATGGTTCTACAGGGACAAGGTATTAACAGCAAAATGAGTTTTTCTTTAGCTAGATGACAATAAGAGTGAGTTACTTGGTTCCAAGGAGACATCCACCAGGGAGTTATCTTATTTGAGAGCATCAGGCTCCATTCTTTCACATACATGGAAAAATGTATGTGAAAGAATTTTCCTTGCAAAGTACCTATGCCTGAAGCGATCTCCATTCAGGCTGTGGTTTCATGTGATTGCAAAAGCTAAGTGAGGTTAAGCCTGGTCAGAATTTAGCTGGGAAACCTCAAGGTATAAAGAGGGGCTGTAAGAAGTGGCAGTTTAATAGGTGGTGCTGCATCCTGAGTCAATACAGAGGTAATGTTCCAAGAGAGAGGTTAAACTAACAAGGAAAGGCTGAAGGCTGCTGGATGAAATATAAATCAAATATCCTGACAGCTTGAGGTGTCTGTTGTGAGGAAGATGGTAACCTGGATGTCCTATGAAAACAAGTCATATCAGCCCAAGCTTCTCTGATAGCCGTGAGTGCAAACCACACTCCATTGTATGATGGTCCACTCCAGAGAGGCAGCGTTTCCATAGAGAAAAGATCAACCATTGTGTTATCTGCAGAGGTGCTATTGAGGTGGAATGACTCTTTATAAGTAAATATTTTATTGTGTTAAAATTCTTAATTTCTTTTGAGAACAAAAATTCTTATTAAAAAATAACCCAAACTTCTCCCAAGACAATTTTTCTATGAAGCAAGGTCCTATTTTTTCATGTCTGAAATAAATTCTCAAATACAAGTGAATAGAAAATTTAGGTGCTTAACTATTTACAGGAGATGGATGTATGAGACATCTGGTGAGTCAGAGCTCTATGGGAAACTGAGGTGGTCCTCCCTCTCCGACTGTCCCAGGTCCCACTCAGTCACTAGTTCTGATGACACCTCTGTGAAGAGATGGTCCCAATCCCAGCTGACATCATCCTACCAAGAAGAAAAAAGACAAACATGCTGAAATGTTACTGTGCCACCAAAGTTCTCTGAACAATGCCAGAATAGCAAAGAGAGAAACCAAAAGGCAAGTGCCCTGACCAGGGAAGTCTCAGATTCAGCTGTCTAGAGCAGGAATACTAGCCAGAATGAAATGTGAATATCTGCTACAATTTTAAAATGTTGACAAAATTATTCATGTTCTAAAATTCCAAAAAGGACATATTTGATGATAATGTTAATATTAGATACTCCCAGGCAGGGCATAGAAAGAAGTCCTTTCACTACTCTTCTGCACTTCTGCTGAAGCATGTGCAGTTCAAAGCTGCAGAAATCCTTTGCTACAAGTCTTGAGCTCCTGCCCATCCAGTTGTATTGAGGTTGTTCTGTCCTGCTTTAAAAACCCCCTGCCCAAACCCAAGATGCTTTCTGCATTTGTCCCTCTGTACTTTTCTGTGGAACTACCTGTTGCTCATGGTGGCCACCAAAGGACAAAGCACTGTTTCTGCAGGGATCTCTGACCATACTAGGCCTTGCACGTTCTCCTGACCAGCTCCTTCATACTTTATACTGGCCAATCATAGTGATGCCATCAATTCATACCAAGAAAGCACTATCTATCTTAAAAATCACCTGCTGGGGAAATCAAACCTCCAATAGCTTGGACAAGCTCCTCCTTACATCTCCTCCCCCCCACTGACAAGACTTCCTTTCCTAGTACAGTCTGAGACACACAAGAAGCTTTTACCTTGTTGGTGTTTCCACAAAACAAAGACTTACCTCTCGTAGCTCATGCTCTGGAGCCAAAACTTTGGTGAGGAGCTTCAGGTCTACCTCCCCATCCTATGAACATACAGAGTCACAGTCTTACAGACACTAGGAAAACGAACACTATCATTTCACCAGATACATTTGTTAGACATCGCCACATTTGCCTCATAAGGGTCACTTTGTCCAGGACAACAGCAAGAACCTCATCTGAGAAACAGATACGATATCCACATCATTCACAGACAGAAGTACAAAAGCCATGTTGCAGAAAGTAACAGACTTACAGGGAGACTGCAAGTTCTCTGGATGATAAGGCTGTATATTTTGTGCAGCTAAGTATCACTGTGAAGGATGACATGAGCCTAGAAGAAGAGGGATTCACATTGGCCAGCCCATAGCAAAATCCACTTACCAGAGTCTGGAAGGCAGCAAATTTCATTAGATCTTTGTCCAGGTCATGGTAGGTCAGCACTCGGTTCACCTGCACACTGCAGCCAGAAAGGGTCAGAGAACAAGCCTGTATCAGTGTGGAAGCACATGTGAGGAGAAGGGGGGCATGAACAGGTCATCTGGTGACATCTCGAGTGTCCACATCCCCCATGCAGACTCTTAGCATGGATGTACCCAGACAGAAGCACAGCTCAGTCAGCAAATGAACAGTCATTGACAAATCTATGTACCAGGGTGTGCACATGCATAAAAATAGGATGTGGAACAATCATGGACTCCCTCAGAGAAACCAGCATGCCAAAAGAAGATCCACAGACTAGGTGCAAGGGCTAGAAAGGAAAGACCATAGTGAGCATTCAAACAGCCCCAGTGCCTTAGCAAAGAGCCTCTGAGAGCAACACCATACAAGCTAGAGAATAGTAGGGATTTTAGGCTTTTTATGTCTGAGCTGCATCAGAGCTATTAAATATGACTTCCTAAAATGTAGCCTTCCAAGAAAAACATGGTGTAGGGGGCTGATACACTGTTGTACCACCTGCCTTCACAAGTGATCCAACACTATAGAAAAGGCTTCTATTTATTGAATTTTATTGTGTCTGTCCATGAAAGTCCCTTGTCTTTTCTACTGCAAGAAAACTATGAACATAGGAGGATCAGATCATTTTATTAAAAAAATAAAGAGAGAGAAAAAGAAATTCATTCCAGTGAGAGACACAGTAATTTTAAATTTACTACATAAACTGTCAATTATTTTTGTTAACAGCGATATAATTACAATATAATTATAGTAATTACAATAACTACTCCTCACCTGTGAGAGAAGCATCTGTGGCCAGGATTAAGATATCCCACCCCTCCAAATAAGAATCAACAGAAATCCCAGTCTGTGACCTTGGCAATAGGCCCATTAGAGGACAGGAGACTTTCCTGGTATGTTTAAGACAAAACTCCAAAACCTTTCATTTCTTAAAACTTTCTGGTCTCCCTTGAGCTGACTCCAAGGCTACTGCAACAGCCCCTTCAAACAACAGGACTGTACTTTGCAAATTAACTAGACACTTGAGTAAGAAGGATAGAACGTGGAGGGCAAAGCAGCCTACAACCATCAAAATTAAAGTGTGTGGGATAATGCATGTGCATTGCAGACATTTGGGGTTATGCAGGCAACCTTAAATCAAGAAATTCCCTGCTTTTGAGAGTTTGATTTTGCAACGTCAAATATGTTATTGTAATGTAGGGGTTTTTATATAGAGAGAGAATATGCAGCAATTGCTTTCTCTGTGTAATAGGAAACAAGAATTTTTCACTGTTCAGCTTGCAGCACTACTGTCACAAAAGACCACACCAAATCCTGCTGAACAGCACTGCTGCTGACATCCAAAGAGCATGAGTAAGATGGGTTTAATTTCACTAGCCAGTTTGCACTGCTGATGAGAGTCTCACCTGGCAGTGCTCTTACCTGGGGGGAGCTGCCACTTGCATGGCCAGATCTTCCTCCTGGACTTCCTCCAAGTCAGGGATCACAGGAATGTCTGCAACAAGAGAAAGCAGCAGCGGTAAGTGGGGAGTGTTGTGCTCTCCACTCACTGAAGACAAAGGTTCCCTTGCTTCACAGATATGAAGCACCCTGTTTCTTATTAGAGGGAAACACAAAATGGTTATTTAGCAATAATTAAAAATATATTGTTTAATATTTAAACAAGGCAATAAAACTTTGAAGTCTGAAGTCACAAGAAATCTTGCAAGAGGAACAGATTAATCCAGGTATGGCTCTAAAGGCCATGGACTATGCATCTGAACGCAACCTTAAAGCTGAAAGAAGCCACCTGTACTAAACCTTGCTGCCTATGTTGCCATCATGTACTTACAAGAATTTGCTTGTTATGTGTTATCATTTATTCAGACACCATTCTCCTAGACTCTGTTAAAAATGAAACATGGGGCAGAAACTAAGAGAATCCACATAGAACTGCATGTTGAAGGATCTGCTCTTGGGGTCTCAGGCTGTGCAGAGGCCTGTGACCTTCCTCAGGAAGGAAGTGCTGGTGGTCCAGTAGATACAAACACTAGGGAACACAGGTCTTGTAGTGTCACAAAACTTTTCCATGACTTCCACTGTCATACTGGAATGGCTGAAGGTCACTGGGTATTCCCAGCACAAGGACAATTGCTACTCCAACTAAAAAGGATGCTAGAAACAAAAGAATTGAGGACAGGAGGAAGAACTGAGTGTGCTTTGCATCCTACTAAAGAAGCAAGGCCCTGAAAGCATTGCACAGTCTGTCATTTGATAAAGCCCTGCAAAAAGTTAGTGCAAAAAAAAAAAGGAGAAAGAGAAGGCAAAGTAACTGGAGGCACAAAGCAAGAACCGAGTACACCAATACAGAGCTCCTTTAAAGACTCAAGACCACAAAGGCTCTCCAGAGACCCCAAGCCCTCACACCATGGAGGAGCTGATTTGGCTCAGGGAAAAGGTTTCACTTGCCCAGTAAGCAGGCAGAGCTGGCCGCTTCAGCACTGGAACGAGCAGCCTGCTCCCAGCTCTGCCGGCAGTACAGTAACACTACTGCTGGATGGCAGCAGGCAGCTGAGCCTGGCTTCGCCCCGTTTTTCAGCCCAGGCTGAGATGAATATTCAGGAGCTGGAGAGACATTCCCACCCATGGTGCCGAGGCTGTGGGCAGGCTCTTCCCGAGAAGCCCCTAGTCCGGCGGCCTGTCAGACGGCAGGGTCCCAGCTGCCCTCCGTGCTGCAGGGCCGCCGTGGGCCCCCGCCCGCTGGCCGGGAGGCGGCCCCGGCCCAGCTGCAGCAGGGCACGGGTCAGCAGGGCCCCGGCACAGCGGCCCTCCGGAGCTGGCACACAGTGGGATTTCTCGCTAATTGGTTGCCTGGAGGAAGGCTGAGCGGGACAGGGGCTGTCACGAGCATGGCCGCGGCGAGAGGGGTGACAGCTTGGCCGGCCTCAGCAGAGCTGTGCCTTCTAGCTCCTAAGGAGCAGGTGCCTGTGAAGAGGTTCTCCGACTGCAGCAAACTTCCCGAAGACATTTAAAGGGAAACTGCAGCAACAGCCCCTAGGCCGGCCCTAAGGCAGAGGAGGCAAGTGCAAGGAATGTCTCACCTGTGCATCGCTGGACATTTGGGGGAGATCTCCCCACCTCTGCTTGTGAGGACAATACCTGGTAGAAGCTGCTATCCCGCTGGCTCTTCCCTGCAGAGGCTCCCAGCTCTTGGTAAAACTTGTAGCAAAATGCACTTATGGAACAAAAGCATCTCCAGAGACAGACAGACCAACATGTGGAGGCAGCTGGTAAAATCTGCTCAGGGATAATGGGAGAAAGTCCCTGTATATAAGCAACAAGGACCAAGGAGGGAACAGACTGGTCCAAGGCGGGGAATGAAGCTCTGTGCAGAGGTGCCCTGTTAAGTCCAGGAAAATGAGCATGGGAATGAGAAACTGTTTAACTTCTCCTGAATTAATTTATCCTTTTATGATGAGACTGTGAACGTTTCTCAGCAAGCACAAGTAAATTAAAAACTACCTGGGAACAGAGCTGTCTTCATCCACAGAGCCGGAGAAGGTCAGATCCTTATCCACTTTTGACAGCAGAAATGTAAAAGGTGTTTGCAGGAAACTGAATTTCTTCACTCAGTGCTCATTTTGGCAGCTATTTCAGGAGTCTACTCTTCCCAGTTCTCTTTTGTTTCTGTTGATCTCTTTTTACACTAGAAAAATCTGTAAACTTAAGGCCCTGCTCAGTGATGTTCCTTCCATTTTGCAGGTTCACACAGACTCCTGGTTCTCTAGTGCTGATTTTATCTCACTGCCAGTGAATTCCATTGAGAGATTTCTAAACCCCTCACAGAGCGCAACCTCCACTCTGTATTAGCAAAATTCAGGCGATCGCTTAGAAATTCTTTCCAAAAGAAATTCAAGGCTCCAAGATTTTATAGATACTTTGAAAATATTTCAGACAGAAGAGCTGGAAAAACTCTGGAGGCCCCTGCCAGTCCCTCCAACAAGGTCAGTGCACGCTTGTTCCTACTGCAAAGTGCAGATGCCTTGCCCATTTCTAGGCAGAAGCAATGCCCTTTAGGACTGTGAGACTGACAGGAAACAGTACAGAAATGTCTCAGATTTTAAGAAAATATCGGGTCCCTGGGCTAACTGCTATCAGGGACAAATAATTCCTGAAATATTTGGGTCTTTATTTCATTTGTTACTCATAACTGCCTCTTCCCTCTGCCAATTCCCATGGTGCCACTTCAGCACAATCCCTCTCCCTTCTCTCTGTACAGTTTGCAAAGTGTCTCAGCTCTCAATTATCACCAAGAACCCAACCTTACCCCCACTGATTCTCCAGCCTCTTAATTGTTTTTGTTGCTCTTCTTGAGACTCACATCTTTTTCTCCTATAAGCTCTGGTAACACAGCTAAGTTATGGCACAGTGTCAGCTGCAGGGGGAATAGCACAGCACGGGCTGTTGTGCTGCAGGAGAGTAGGCATATGCTCTACTTTTAATACTCCCACTAGCTGCAGGGAGGCTTTACATATAACATTAGTACATGCAGAAATGTTCACAGGACCATGTCCTCCCAATCTCGCACTGCATCTTTTTCCAACAACACAGTTGTATGACAAACCCCCACTCTGTGTGCTTTGCTCTGTGACCCACATTTTTTCCTCTCCTGTTCAGTGCGGGGGTTTCAGATAATTTGCCATAAACCTGTGCTTCTGGTGCAGAACTTTGACACATACTTTACTGCCAGGGTCTCATGCCCATGTAGGCAAACCTCAGAAATTACTACAAAAAAGGACACACCTTCACAAATAGCAGCTCAATGTAGTAAACAATGACGTGAACAAATGGCTTGTGCAAAGAAGAGGGAGCACCACATGCTAGATGACAAATGCAAACTCTCCTCCACCTCCCAGATTGTTATGAACAAGTGAACAAAGAATGAAATCAAAATGAGCTTACTCATATGGAAGTTATAGGGGGGCAGGAGATACCAGTACCAAACATTGGCTAACTGGGGAGTTAAGTCACTGCACAAAACTGATCGTCCCAGAACATCTAAGTCCCAGAATATAATTAAGAATAATATTTTATTTGAACAGCTGAACTTAGCTAGGTCTTACACAAAAAGAGCTTCATTACTAAGTTATGGCAAGGCACCAATAAGACAGAAGTGTGTGAATGGGAGGAGGAGAAGATGGAGAAGAAGGAGTGAAGGCAACCCATGCTACATGCAGACAGTCAAACAACAAGCAAGGAACAGCAGCTTTTCAAGTCATACAGAAAGGAGGGCTTTATGTGTTCATATTAAAGTACAGGTACTAAACATGACCTTTTTTACCTCCTAGCAAATAACTTACTGACAGGCAAAGAAGACAACCACAGAAAGCAACAAGCAGGAGATGGGAGAATCTGTACCAATCCAATACCCAGCTGCTCCTGAAAGTTGGTAAATTGCACCTCCCCTCCCAAGCAGGGCTGATTTTTGGTTTAGTAGCAACACCTGCAGGCTGGGTCTCTTAAAATGCTGTAAACTCCCAGTAAGATCTTGTTCTTGTCCCAAAGAACTAAGTTGTCTGCTAGATACAAGATGGCACATAAACAGGGACAGACAGAACCTCTTCCAGGTCAGGCAATAAATTACTGGCAAAGCTGCATCTAGAAACCGTGCTCCAGTTCAGGCTGCAGTTAGTCAGAGTGTGCTGCTTACTCCCTAAGCTGCTCTAAGAGTACCCTTAGCCCCTATCCTGGCACCCAGTAACAAAGAAGACTCCATCTCACACAGTCTGATCCACTTCCCCAGCTAGGTCAGTATTTCAAAGGCCATTCAGAATGGACACTCTTGTGGTGGGTACTGTGCTGCCCTCCCCGTGCACACACCACCGTATCCAGAGAACACAAAGGGGGCAGTGGCTTCTGGAGCTGGCAGTCTCCTACCACCAAGTAGGTATAAAAATGAAACTATTTTACGTAGCTTGCTCATAAAATGTAAAACTGAAATAATTACAATATCTCTGCTGCTGCAAAACTTTGTTTTACTGAATGCTGTTACCTTCTGCATCACGTTTGGGGAATTTTAAACAGGCAAATGGAAGGTCTGATTGAAGATGAAGTTAAGTGAAAGAAATTGGTCTCATTTAGCACATGACAGGATTCATCTGTGTTCCCAAGTCCACTGAGGTAGCATCATGGGCGTTTCATATTCATGAGCTGCTGCGACACTGTGTCCCCTCATTTACAAAGCACCGTGTTCAGCAAATTCTGTCCCTGTGGACACACTGTGCATTTCATGGTCTTGTCAGAGAGACATCAAACACTTCAGTAACCAAATACCAGAAAATGGCTTTAATTAGTGCATCTCAATGCAATAAATAATTTTTCTAAGTGGAAAATGGAGAATTAAAAAGGAAAAAAAAAGTAAAAAGTGGAAAGCAACAGGCAAAAAAAATCATAAAAAAACCATAAAGAACAAGGGACACAGCTTCTGCTGAACACACAAACAAGCTTGAAGCCTCT